TGAGTAGCAAGGTTAGCAACAGTAGCAATATGACCATTCCCTCCTGAGACAAGATCAGCTCAGTCCCTTCCATACGGGGCAGAGCAGTGCACAATGGCAAGGGCAACGGAAAGTTTCAGGGCAGAGACCTTTAATGAATTCCACATTTGCAACAACTTTGTCAGCAGAAGTCAAAAATCCCCACAGTAGTCAAGGCATCCCCACAGCATGACAGACAACAGAGATTGTGTTGCTTCTGCCACTCCAGAATTCATTTTGAGGTGTTATTTTAAAGTTGGAGGGGAATTTGGGAGAGCTCAAGCAAGTCCCTGACATTGCTCCACTACCTTGGCTCTGCCTCTCTTCCTCCCTCCCCCTCCCCATGGCCCAATAGGGCTATTTAAGCATTCTATTTACCATTCTGTTAATATGGACCCACTTATTTTTTTGTAAATAATCATATGCTGGACCATCTCCAGTTACTCTAATCTATGTCTGTTCACTGGACCCAGATGACTCCGGAGGAGAAAGTGAAGCTGGTAACTTTGCATTGCCCTCCTTCACTTAAATCCGACTCACTTGCAAGTCATGGCATCATCTTCCTGATGTCATGGTCTTCTTCAAGAATGAAGGACAAACCACCACACACAGTCAAATATTTTATTTAGATTGCCAGTTTTATTCATGCATAGTTAGGCAAAATGATTGTTTTTTAATTTTCCTTTATTATTGTTAATTTACTTTTTTCATTTTTGATACTGATAACTTGGCACCCATTTGGGAAACCAGTGCTAGCTCAGGAACTCTTGGGATCTCTTTCTACCTTAGTACTTCCCATATTGTTCTGTCTTAGTCCTGTTTCTCTTCTGGAGATGTGGAATGTTACCTGATGTCACTGCCATGGTTGCCCCAAGCACACTCCTAGCTGGTCCCCACCTAAGTATTGACAAACCTGTCTGTGTTCTTAAGCTGCTCTGGGCTAGGGGGGAAAATTATACAGAAATATATATATGTATGTATGTATGTAGAATACATATATATATATGTGTGTGTATGTACACACATATACATATGCATACACATAAATAAGTACACATATATTTCATACTAAAAATTTAAATCTAAAAATGTTTAGATATTTATATTAGGGAAATAATCATTTTAACAGCAAGGTGTAATTTGTTGAGAGACAATTGTTTAGCATTTTTAATTTTAAAATTCTGAACTTAAAACAACAAAAAGAACATTTCTATACACACAACAAACAAAAAGAATTTTCTATGAAAGGTACTTGAAAGACAAAAATAAATGTTTCATCATGTTCGTATTGAACCTACAAACAGTCTTGTGTTCACTTTTTTTGTTGTTCTTCTTTGACTTATTGGTTTAAAAAAATCCCAGGGAGAAAATTCTCTATACCAAAGGCAGGTTGATAACTGTTCTTATAATCTTACAAAGCCAACTTGTACACCGAGAGGTTAAGTGATTTGCAGTAGGACACAGTGCGAGTATGTGCCAGAAGTGTGACTCCAACTCTAGCTTTATTCATTCAGAGGTTAGCTCTTTTATTTTGCTGCCTCTCTTGTATCCACCTTTAATGGAAATAATGCAAATATGTGAAATAAAACATCCAAATTAGCATAAAATTTCAGAATATTTTAGGATAAAAAGATTGGAGATATTAATTTCTACAAATGCATCATAGCATATTGTGACATTGTCCTGAAATTTTAGAAATGTCATCACCATCAGAACTCATTATTTTCTTTAGTTTTCTTGAATTGACTAAAAATTAAGGCCAGTTTTTCTATTCAGATTTTAATGCCAGACTGTTCACACACTTGTATGATTTAGAGCAACATTTTCAATTTCTTTCACTGATGTTTCAGCAGCTACTGAATGAAGCTCTTGAGCAGTGGTGAAAATAACTTTTTTATTGTTATTGAGAAGATGTCAATGAATTATGTTTAGCTTTATAGCTCTATATAGTTTTTTTTTTATTTTTGGTGATACATTCAGCTCTTCATACAGTGTAACATTGAGAAAAGATGTCATAAAAAAAGTTGAGTGCAGCTCTTTCTGGTGATACTAAAAAGTTAAACTAACTTTCAATGGAAAAAAAAGGACACTGTCAACTATTCTTCACCAAAAGGCTAATAAAATGATTCCCTGAAATGGTGCTTCTAAAATTCATTCTTAGCAAAAAGAGACTGAAAAATATGAACAAATAAGACTAGATTAAAATGAAAATTCTCTTACAGTTGCAGAAGGTATGGATTCTTAATGGAAAAGGAGTGTATTGCAGTGGATAGAGAGCTGGCCTCAGATGCAGAAAAATATTGGTTCCAAGTTCCCATTCATTCGTACTGTACAACTCTGAGCAAATCCTTTAACCTCTCAGTGCTCCAGGTAGCTCTATGACTCTAAATTGTAGAGCTACTTGATGCCCTGAATTGGTAGAGGGAGCTTCCTCAGCTGAAAGTTCCCTATAATAATGAAATCACCCAAACCTTATGAGGAAAGTTTTCACTAAGAGGAAGAGGAAAAACGTTTTAAAAAGCTAGCTTTTAGATCAAGAAACTGGAAAATTTTAAAGTTTTCACTAAAGGGATATGCCTAAAGAAAAAAAAGGGGGGGGGAGGTACTCTAGCAAATCAACTATTTCAGAAAACAGAAAAACACAGTAAGATAAAATGTAATTGTTACAGTATGAAACATTACTTCATTTTAATTCTTTATGTGAAAAAAAGGTAATAGAAAGCATACATAGAATATAAATGATAATACACAGTGACTCATTCCATCTCTATGTTCTACTTATTAGAGTTTACATAACACATAAATATTTTAGCTGCCTGCCAAATGGCAGTTCTGTCATTCACTAACCAGTTCAAGTTCATAGTTACAGGGCTGACTGAGGAAGGGACATGCACCAAGGAGTGGCATTCCAAATGGAGAAACCACCAAGGGCTACGTACTAAGTCAGGAACAAGTTCAGAAGCAAACAACACCCATGTGGCTTGAGCCCAGGAGTAAAATGCATTAAAATGCATGAAAAAAAAGTCAATAGTCAATGTTGAAGGGGTTGTGGAGTGGATAGGAACACTAAATACACTATTGGTGGCGCTTTTTAACCATTTTTGAAAGCAATTTGGATACATGCAAATAAAGTGACTAAAATGCCCACACTTTGTGGATCAGATATTTCATTACTTGGCTCATTCCCCAAGGAAGATATTGATAAGAATAAGGTCCCCATATACACCAAAATGTTTACAGCAGTGCTTTTTGTGATAGCAAAGAATTGGAAACAAAGTAGATGCCCACTGATTGGGGAATCCCTAAACATATCAGTGAATGTATGAATGTAATCAAATATTATACTGCTGTAAGAAATGGTGTGTGCAAAGCATACAGAAAAGCATGGAAAGATCTACATGAACTGATGTAGAGTGAAGTCAGCAGACCAAAGAAAATAATATATACAATAACTAAAACAACATAAATGTAAACTATGCAGCAAAAAATAAAAAATGGAGGTCACAAAATTACAAAGATCAAGCAAGACTGGAATGAAAAGATATGAGAGGACATCCTCAGCCAACCCCTTTCTGGAGGTGAGAGGTCCACAGGTCCAAGCTACACATCTTTTTTAGATTTTTAAATAAATATATTTTACTTTTTTCCCTCTCTAAAAAATACTATTTGTTGTACAGAATAACCCTGTAGGAAGAGGTGGATAATTGGATTAACTATGATCATGTAAGAAACAGAAGACAATAAAAACTTTTAAAGAGAATTTAATAATTATAAAGATAAAGCATGAGTAACTCAAATGAAGAAATATGAAAGGATACCCCTTTCACAAAGTTAGGAGGTTTATGGGTATTACAATTGCACATGTTTTCAGACTTTTTCCATGTATCAATCAGTAGTGCTTATGTTTGTCTTCTTTTTTTCTTTCTTTTTTGTTTTTAAAAAATACTACTTGTTATATGGGATAGCTCTCTGACAGAGGGCAATGTAGGGACACTAGAGATAACGATGATGATGTAAAAAACAGGTAATCAATAAAAACCAATAAAAAGTAAGAGCAGCAGTTAAGTGGGGAAAAAAATCCTTAACAGCAAATTTACCTAATAAACTGTCAAAGGCAATTAATTTTTAAAGGAAGAAATCAAAGCTATCAATAACCACATGGAAACATGATCTAAATCATTAATAATTACAAGTTTCATCTCATATCTCAGACTGACAAAATTAACACACAAACAAAAAAGATAAATGTGAGGTGGGGAAGAAGTTATGAGAATGTTGTAGAAAAACAGGTATAGTCATTCTGGAAAGCAATTTGGAAAAATGCTCCAAAATTCATTTTACTGTGTATACTCTCTGACCTAGTGATGCTGCTCTTAGGGCTATAACCCAATGATAGAGAGTAAATAAATAGATACAGGAAAATGATCCATATTTATAAAAAATATTTATAGCAGGTATTTGTGTGGTAGCAAAGAACTGAAAACTGAAGGGGTGCCCATCAAGGAGGGAATATGGTATATGCACGTGATGGATTACTATTATGCTATAGGGAATGATGAGGGAACCAGAACAATTTAAATAATAACAACAATATTTTAAAGACAATTTTGAAAGTCTTAGGAACTCTGATAAATGCAATGATCAACCAAAATTCCAGAGGACTCATGACGAACCAGGCTACCCACTTCCTGATAGAAAGGTAATGGACTCAAGAGTATAGTGAGGCACAATTTTTTTGGACATGGCCAATGTGATAATTTGTTTTGCTTAACTAAATAGATCTATAAGAGAGGTTTTGTTTTTCTTGTTTTTTCAATTAACACAGTTTTGGATAAATCCAATACAGGAATTTATTTTGTCTGACAATGTATTTGTTTACTATAGTGACAAATAGTAAACAAAAAAGGGTTGTTCCACCTGTGGTGGGGAAAAAAAAAATAAATGTTTGATAATTTGAAAAATAAAATTAATTAAAATTCATAAAATATAAATTTCAATCAGCATATATTTTCTATTTTTGCCTGATACTTTGCCAATTTTAAGAATGAAACAATAGAACTTTTGGCCAACTGTTTTTAAAGTCATTTTACTTTGGTACATCAGGCCAAAAATGGGTTCACATGGCTGCTAAATATACTTATTCAAAGAACATAACTTTGCATGTGTTTAAACACTCTATATTAGATTGTAAACTACTCTGAGCAGAAACTATCATTTTTCTTTTTTGTATAACAATGTTTTACAATGCACAGTAGACACTTAATGTTTGTTCAAGTTAGCTAAAATGTGTTGTGTATACACACACACATACACACACACAACTGACAAGGCAATACTTACACTACTAAAATATGAGCTAATTTTTCCAATATAGCTAAAAGCTCCATTTATTCCACTGACATAAAATATTAAGACGAAAAAAGCCAAATGTAGAAAATTATTTAAATAATAAAATGAATGTTCTATGGTACAAAATATAATGGGCTGGTCACCTAACATGGGAAAATGGAGCTTCCCTTGATATTTCAATTTTGATAAAATGGTAACTAGGACAAACCTAAATAAACAGAATGGAATCTTCAGATCCACTAAGAATCATCTTAATAAAATATAATACAATTATATGAAGAAAATGAATCACCATATACTAAGAATTTCCAGTCTAGTCTAAAAAAGCCATGGTTATTAGCTAGATAGTAATAGGACTTATATTTAGGCAATACCTAATCCAATTCCTTTAGTTTACAGATAAGGAAATGGAAACCCAAAGAGTTAAAGGAAATTTCCCAAGGCCATAGAGGTAATGAATAGCAAACCTGGTATCTAATATTTATGCCATGTAGGAAATTCTAGAATTAATATATACTAAATTCAATTATCCAGACTGATACGGGCTTCTGAGGAAAGACTAGAAGGAGTGCATGATCTAGTTAAAAACAATTATCACATTAATATACATAATTTTCCCTATCTTGTATTTTTTTCCCTCCCCAAATTTGAAGGAAAATTTTCCTTCTCCCCACCAAGATTTCTTCCTCATGGAGGAGGTAAAAAGGGGCTGCATATAAGGCTGAATCAATACAGCAAAAAAAAAAAAAAAAAAGCGATGACTGTCAGTTTTCCCTATTCCGTACTTATCTGTTCTTTCTTCAGGTTGTGCTGAGATTTTCTTAGAGATGATATTTCCTTCTGACTCTACATCCTTCCTAGTACCAAACATTCCACATTTATCATATTTGGTCACACAAATATCACACTGTACAGTCCAGAATCCTTGCATCTATAGAAAGATAAGATGTGCCAAAAGAAAGGAAGACAGCAGCTGTGTTGACTTCCTACTACTTCAGTAATTGGTGAGAGATGCAAAGAAAAAAAAACACAACTACTTGTGTGTTTTGGAACAAGTAATTTAATCTCTCTGGGGGCTTCTATTCATTTATACATAAGAGAGTAGGACTAAATGATCTCTAAGATATCTTTGCAGGTTTAAACTCTACAATTCTACTTTTCTGTCTCAAAATCACCAACTTCAATATGTCTTAGTCTCGTAAGCAGATCAAACGTGTTTCTTTTAAGCTCCGACAATTGTCAGACATTATTATAGGTGCTGGAGATATGACAAAAATGAAACCATTCCCACCCTCAAGTTGCTACTAGCTCCTTGACATTCACACCAACATTCTATATACTAATTCTTCTACTCTCAAAACCCACCCTGAAACAAGAATGCTAAATATTAGGCAGGTTAGTAATGCCTTGACTTGCTTCCATTATTTCATTAGTACTCCTCTCCCTTCTCAACTCACCACAACCAGTCACTGCAGAAAAATCAACCACCCAAACCAGCTCTTTTTTGTCTCAACAAGAGCTCTCTGTTTTCATAAAACAAACAAATTTCTCCCATTGAAATAAAACATTAACTACATGATGCCCCTCTCCTTTAAAAATTAAATACCAAAGGAAAAAAGAGGGAAATAGTAAATATGGAACTTGGTCAATTCACAAGAACCAGTATTGTTCTAAGAGCCATATCTGGCCGTGGGAATTATGAATTAACAGGACAAGAAATCAAGAAAGAAAGAAACTCTCTAGCCTTCAACATCAACAAAAAAATTCAGTATCTTCACTTGAAAAGGATATGCAATTTATGGAAACAAAAATTATTTTTCTAGTAGAACCAATAATCTTTTCCTTAATCACAAACTATCCATGATAGGTTTTCTATAAAATTGTGGTAATGCTCTGCCAACTTTCTTGTTTTAAAAATATCTGGCAAAATAAATTTGAGGTAGAAGAAAGAAATTGAAATGGAACACATTTCAATTCTATGATGGCTGAAATAACTGATTGTAAGAAAGGTGTAACTATAATTTGGTCCACTATACTTACCAATACTATACTAGTATGCTATTATGATTTCCACTAAAATTCTAATATTGGAATAGGTATCTTTTTACTTCCAGAATGCTTAGTAAAGTTACAAATGAATTTCATTTAAAGTAATAAAAAAGTTTTGCCCCAAACACATTTTAACATATTTAAATCTAAATTTGATTTTTGGCAAGACAGTTGAACAAACAAATAAAAAGGTAATATTTCACATGAAATCATTATTAACAATATCTAGAAGTTTATACTAGTTTTCTATTACTTTGTATGGCTTGCATATGTATGTAGTTTACTCAAAGATTTTAAACATGATTGTCACAAAATTTTTTTTAACATATCAGAGATGAAACATCAAAAGGCACACACAGATTTGCAATGGTTATATCACATTTCCTAAGAGACAAAACAATTTTTGTCCCTGTAAACTTTATTCTCACAAAATTAAAGTGAGGTCAGTGCTGACTCAAAAGTATTGCTAACATTCACAGTTTCACATTTTTAAAATTATGTATGAAGTACATGGCTCTTCACTTATATAACCCTATTTCTTTCACCCACTGAAGAAAGAACAGTCAACAGAATCATATAAACTAAAACTATTTATCAGTAAGAGTTCATTTTCACCAAAACTGGATTGAAAGCAAACAATGATTAACAAACTTCAAATGTCAGGAATGTTTGAGGTTAGGCTCCAACTTATTCTTCATAACAACAAAACATACCTCAATTTACTCTCTCTAGTAAAGCTTATCTGGATAAAGGATAAATAATTCCTTCTTAAACATTAATACATTGTGCAAGAAAATCATTCACGCATACTTTTTGTAGTTCAACAGATTTAAGTCTTCACCAACAAGAGTCACCTTTCCTTTGTTGGTCGGTTATAACTATCTCTTATACTTTTTGTTAGTTGTTTCATGAATATTTTGTGTATTCTCCCACAGTATGTATGTACAGTCTTTTGTAGTTCCAGTTCTAATGGGTGTAACAAGGAATGTACTTTATCATCTTCAAAAGAGCACTAAAAATGAAAAGAAAAAAAAAGAGAAGTCTCAGTTAAAATGGACAATTAACTTGTATTTTCAGTAAAGACAACATTCTTATTTGCTACAGACCAACATTATCAAGACAGTATTTGTTTGCTTACCAGTGAAGTGTTAAATACCTCCTTTCATGATAAATTAAATAGCAAACAATTAATAAGCATTTAAATGCACTTAACTCCAACTGCCTCAAAAAAAAAAAAATGCTTCCTACTTACCAGACACTGTGCAAAACCCTAAGAATACAAAGACAAAGCAAAAAAAGAACCTGCTTCAAGAAGCTTACATCCTAAAGGGAAAGACAAGTACATAAATAGTTATATACCAAATAACAGAATAGATGGAAGGTAACCTTAGAGGGGTCAACACTAGATGCTGGGAGACCAGGAAAGACCTTCTACCAAAGATTATGCTTGAGCTGTATTTTGAAGGAAACTAGAGATATTAAGAATTAAAATGAAGACTGAGAGTCTTCTGGGAATGAAGGACAACCAATGCAAATGAACTGAGATGGAAATGGAATGTTGTTTGTGAGGTACAGCAAGATAAAAAACTGGAGAGATAGCAAAGGATCAGGATGCAAAGAGCTCTAAATTCCCAACAAAGGAATTCATATTTGATCCTGGACACTGTAGCTTGTCCAATCAAAATTGTCAACATGAAGCTTATTGGTAGTCCTTGAGAAAGCAATTTCAATGGAGTGGCATGAGCAAAATCAAAATTACAAAAGATTAAATAGGAAGTAGTTAGTAGTATAGAAATGCAGGTAGTAAGTTTAGAGAAATGACAACAAATGTTGGTAATAGAAAGAAGGAAAATGACTACACCAAGTCAGTGAAAGAAGGTCAAGATAAAGTTGTTAAGTTGTTGGGTTTTTTGTTTCTCAAGATAGGGAAGACATATATTTAATGGAAGAGGAGAAAAATGCTACTGAAGGACTATAGAAGGTTAGAGACAAAAGTTAGAGTCATTTGGATGACTGCAGCTAAGATCAGAATTTGAGAGTTGGCAGGTCACAGCTATATGATCAAAGAGGAAATATAATTAAAATCTAGAATAACAGGAGGGCATATATAGACAAAGAAAACAAGAAATTCTCTTATGAATCCCAGCACACGATAATTAGGGGCAATTTCTTGAAGGAACGATCTTAGAACAAATAGAAGGAAGTAATTTTCATAGCAAAGAACAAATATATGCAATTTTTTACCTCTAGAAGACTTTACTTGTCGAAAATAGAAAGAATTTCAAGAAATATATAAATTTATGATTCAAGGTGTGGGAAAGTTCAGGACACATCTCTAGCATTTGAGAATAGAAGGCAACTGTCAACCTCTCCCTTACAAGGTCGAGCTAAACCCTCTTAAGGAAGAAATACCTTCTTGTGCTCCAAAAAAAGGTAATGTGGATCCATAGTGACTACCAAGAGAAGGGCCATTTAATAATGATCAAATAAAAATGAGATGAGTAATGGTGGCTAGTGACTGCCTCCTGACCTGACCTAAACAAGAGATAGGTCTCTTGTCTTCCCAGAGATGTATGATGAAGAACCTCCTGGATTTGTCAAACCTATAGACCTACCAGAACTACTTCTGGTGATTCACATGGAGACAAATGATACAATGAGAAGGAATTTAGAAATAATTGTTAAGAATTATGAAGTCCTAGGCAAGCAAAGAAGATTTTAGGAGCAAAAGGTTTTTGTTTTTCGTTGGCCAACTGAAAGCAGAGCCTTGGAAGAGGAAGTCAATACGGAAAATAATATCTCAGAACAGGATTTGAACTTCTGGATCACAGCTTAAAATACAAGAATAAGGGCTCTTGAGAAAAAATAGAGTAAGCCTAATAAAGGATTGATAAATGTAGGTGAGTGTGCATGTGTGTGTATTAAAAAATGCTACAAGAAATAAGTTGGGAGAACAGAGAGAAGAGGATTAATAACTGATAGAAATCAATATCCAGGAAGAGAATCAACAATAAAAGTCATGAACTCCATTGGCTATTAACAAATGCAAAAGGCATGAGAAATAAAGTACACTAGAAACCCCAAAGAAAGTAAGAAAATTCTAGCCCTTAGCAATTACTAAGAGAATGGGATAGGTCTGATGATCAGAATATGCCTAATGAAGAAACAGAATACAAAAAAAGTTATCAGTCAATATTCAGGGTGGATAAGATAATGCTAATAAAGAAAAAAAAAGAAGACAACTAGTAAACTCCAATTTTGCTTCTGCTTTTTGTGGCACAGAAGACAATCTTTTCACCAATTAAGAATAGAATAAAAAAAGGTTAAAGGAGAGCTAAAGATTCCAGTTAAGAACGTGGCAAGAAAGGGTACAAAGGAGCCTAGCTCATCCCACATATTCTCTAGCAAGGACTTTAAAATGGCACCACACTGAAAAATGATCAAGAAATCCAAAGAAGAACATTAGTAAGTTCCTTTACTCATTCTAGGATATCACAAAAAGGACAGACTGGACCACTGGAACTTATGAGATTAGGATCCCACTAGGAAAACCAGCATGAGCTCAGATGAATGGACTAGCCCACAGCAATACCCTGAATGGGGAAACCCTGGGAGTAATGAAGACCAAGGCATAATATTTGTAGAAATCTCAGGGAGGAAGGACTTACTGTAGCAACCTAATCAGAGATACTCCAGGGAAATAGAAGCCTTCAATGGTGTCCCAATGGGTGGTGAATTTTGCTGGGGACACCAAAATCTGCCAGCATTCTGAGGCACACCAAGGGAAGTCAAAATCAGCAGCAAGAACCTCAAGAAAGTAAGGTCAGGAGCAAAACCTGTGAGAAATGGAGATGAGCCTAGTTTGGCACAAAGTCCTAAATCAAGAACTAAGGCTGGAAATATCGAATAAACAAAGACACTATGAAGATATGTTACAGGTCAAGAGATTTCCAAGAGGAAAACTCAAGAGAAGAAAGTAACCCAACAGATACAATCAGAGGCTCAGGAAAAAAAAAATGTTTTGGCTTCAAAAACCTGGAAGAAAGTACCTGGAAGAAACAATGCAAGAGATTAAAAAAGAAAGAAAGAAAAAATGGATCTATTGGTAAAAAATAAATAAATTAAGAGCTTAGAAGAGAGGATAGGAAACATTATTTAAATAAAAAACTCCCTGAAAATTAAAATAGCCAAATAATTCAATGATTCCATGAGACAAGAAACACTGGAACAAAATAGAAAGAGTAAAAGAAATGGCATAAAATTTAAGTTATCTATTACTGAAAACAACTGATCTGGAAAACAAGCCAAGCAGAGACAACTGAAAAATCAGAGTTCTCCCTGGAAAACATGACACTTTATCTATATCCCTCCCTGGGAACTATATTATAGCCTGGAAACTATATTTCAAGAAACCATAAATGAAACTGACTACATTAAAACTCCCAGGAATGGCAGAGCTCACAAAGTAAAGAAAAAGTAGTGCAAGCCCCTAGAAAGAAAGAGTTCTTTCAAATAACAAGCAGTCAGGATCATATAAACACCACTTTTTGAACCAAGTCTCTCCTGACTCAACTCCAAGTGTGCCCTCCTTCCTAAACTATCATGTATTTAACTATTTTTGTATTAACTTACTATACAAAAGTGTATGTATACACACACACACACATATATATGCTGTATATATTTTTATATGTATTTGTTTTCTCCTCCCATTAGAATGTAAACTCCTTGAAAGTAAGGATTGTTTCATTCTTTGTATTTTAACTCCAGCCCCTAGTACAGTGTCTGGCACATAAAAGGTACTTAATAAATACTTGATTGATGCTCTTGTTCTTTGTATATAAAAATGTTCATGTTAGCTGGTCAAGTTCAGAATAACAATAAAGTTTTTCTAAAAAGGGATATAACATTTAGTGGTCCCCAACCTCAATGAATTTAAGTCAACAGGTCTAAAACAGCTGTATAAGCAAGTAACCCAACATTTATATAGCACTCTAAAGTTTGCAAAAACCCTTTCCTTATAACAACCCTGTGAGGTAGGTGATAAACATATTATCCTTTTTTTTTTTCAGATGAGGAAACAGAGGTTCAGATAGCTTACTTAGGTAAGATCACACATAGCTTCTACGTATCAGAGCCAGGATGTGAACTTTGGTCTTTTCTGACTCCCAAGTCCAATACTGTCCACTATAACACATTGCCTCCCAGGGTACTAAAGAAACTTGCAGATGTGAATGCTGAACCATTGTCAGGGATCTCTTAAGTATCATGGAGAAATGGAAAAGAGCCTGGAATACAACAAATGTCCTGGTATTCAAAGACTGAGAAAAGAGGGGAAAGTTTCTTTGTGTTACCCTGATGGATAAGATGCTGTGGGCTAAATGATAAGTACAATTAGGATGTGAAATTGGTTGACTAGACCAAAAAGACAGTGGTTAGATGTCAACTTTAAGGAAGATCTCTAGTAGCCCTAGAGATCAATATTTTTATCAATGAGAAGGATAATATCAAAGACAGTATGCTTATCTACACCTTTGTGTTAATGGTACAAAGGTGAGGATAACTAATATATTAGATGACAGATTCGGGACTCAAAAAAACCCTAATAGACTAGAATGATGGGCCAAATCTAAAAAAAGGTGAAATTCAATAAAAAGAAATATAACTGTCTGTACAAGATGAGAGTGAAAAAGCTCTGTGAGTCAACAGACTGATGAGTCAAGGGTCCTAAACAAGAAAAATAATACCTCTATCATTATACTCTGTCCTGATCAGACTGTACATACAGACTTGGAAGATATCTCAGAACCACATAGGCCAACCTGCACTTGTCCCTTTACAACACACCTGACATATCATCCAGACTTTTTTTGAAAATTTCAAGTGAAGAGAAATAAATCCATTTAACTTATGGGTAACTCTAATTATTAGGTAGATTTTCTTCAAATCAAATCTAAATGTGCCTCTTTACAATTTCCACCTACTGCTACTAGTTCTGCCCTTTGTGTCAAACAGACAATACTAATGCCTCTTCTTCATGATATCCTTTCTAATAATTTAAGAAAACTATCATGTCTCCCTTAATTCTTTTTCAGACTAAACATTCCTAGAGTTTCTTCAACTGATCTAATCATTTTTCTGATTACCCCCCCCCACTATGAATGCTCTTCAGTTTATTTTATTAGTGTTTTTCCTAAAATATGGCATGAGTATATTGTTATTCAGTTGTTTCAGTTGTGTCCAACTCTTCATGATTCCATTTGGGGTTTTCTTGGCAAAGACTGGAGTTATTGGAATGGTTTGCCATTTCCTTCTGCAACTCATTTTATAAATGAAGAAAACAAGGCAAATAGGGTTAAGGGACTTGCCCAAGGTCACACAGCTAGTAAATATCTGAGACCAGATTTGAACTCATGAAGATGAGTCTCTCTGACTCCAGGCCTGGAACTCTATCTGCTGTGCCACCTAGCTGCCATTATGAGAACATTAAATTCAATTCTAAGTGCCATGACATAGAAAGTATTTTTATAAACAGGAGTTCGAAGAGGATGGAGAAGGAATTGAGGGCTAAAGAAAATAGAATTATTTAGTCTGGAAAAGAAAACTTAACGTTACCTCTCTTCAAGTACTTGAAAGCCTGTCATGTGGAAAAGTGGTTAGACCTGTCTTATTTTGGTCCCTGAGAAGTAGGAGATATAAATCATAGGAAAGAGAAAACTGAGGTTGGATAAGACTTCCTAAATGATTAGAGCTTTCTAAAGGTAGAATGGGCTGCTCTTAAAGAGTTTTTCCTTGGCTAACATGACAGAAAAGGAAAATATGGGAAAATTGGGACACTAATGCACTGTTGGTGAAGTTGTAAACTGATATAACCATGCTTGAAAGCAATTTGGAACTATGGCCAAAGGGATATAAAACTGTATATACATACTCTTTGACCCAGCAATACCACTACTAGGTCTGTATATCAAAGAAATCAAAGAAAAAGGAAAAGACAGTAGCTTAAAAAAGCTGAGGTTTCCCATTGCATTGTGGGCCATCTCCAGTTGTTCTGACCTGTATGTGACCACTGGACCCAGATGGCTCTGGAGGAGAAAATGAGGCTGGTGACTTTGCACAGCCTTCCCTCACTTAAATCCAATTCATTTGCTTCATCTTCCTGATGTCATGGTCCTCTTCAAGAATGAAGGATAAACCACACAATGCAAAGTGAAGACAGAAGAACCAGTAACAGCAATATTGTAACAATGATCAACTGTGAAAGACTTAATTACTCTAATCAAGACAATGATCCAAGACATTTCCAAAGAACTCATGATGGAAAATGATATCTACCTCCAGATAGATAATTAATGAACTGTGAATGCAGATTGGAGCACACTTTTTTCACTTTATTTTTCTTGTCTTTTTTTTTCTATACGGCTAATATGGTTTTACATGACCTAACATGTATAACTGATATTAAAATTTTTGTTTTCTCAATGGTTGGAGGAGGGGCAGGAGAGAGAGAGACAATGTGGAACTCAAAATTTTTTAAATTAATATTAAAAATAAATAAATAAATAAGTAAGCAGAAAAAAAGTTTTTCCTCTTCAAAAATGGAGGTATTCAAAGAAAGGCTGGAAAGTCACTTATCGGGGATGCTCATGGACTTTAGATCTCTTCCATGTCAGAATTCTATCCCTTTGTACTTTGACTAAGTTGGACTTCTTCTCATTTCTAGAATAAACTTCATGAGCTTTATACTACCTTTGCTTACACTATTCTTTCTACCATAAATGCTTCCCTCTCTGCCAATCTCATCTATATTTATCTAAATCTTAATCTACAAATTTAAGATAAAAAACCACCTACTCCATGAAATCTTCCTGATCCTGAAGATGGAAGATCACCATCCTGTATCCTCCCAATTGCACTTTGCTTCTACCTATTCTATAATGTTTACGACACTCTACTTTGGATTTTATTAATTTATACATACATTTTATCTCCCTTTCTATATTGTAAGTCCCGTGAGGACAGTGATATCTTCATGGTCATTTTTATATCTTTCCATAGCATTTAGTCCAGTGCTTTAAAACAACAGGTTCACAATGAATGCTATTTAAACTACCTAGGGAAAGTGCCATTCCAGTTATGTGCTGGAAAATACAGTTCAGTACTTGCATTTCAAATGAGTTTACAAGAAATTATCTTGGTCACACAACTATGCAGTATATCAGGGGATCGTTGAAAGATGATGGGGCTTCTCTTTTAACTGTCCATGATTCATTTTACTGAGTTAATTGCTTCACATTGACAGAAGCCTCCCTCCTCCTGGTGTTTCAATTCATTCAAAGAATTCATGCTTATATTTTGGAATATGGGAAACATATCTCACCATAACACAATGGATGGGGCTGGAGGCAAGAATGATGAACAGGAGAAGGGAATTTGGAGAAGGTGGTGGAGTAGTCAAGATTTTACTTAAAAAAAAAAACTAATAAAAGAGCAAAGGCTTACATTTCGCAGTGCTTCATAAATAGCTCTAAAAACTGGCTGCTTATCATCATGGTAAACACCTCTGTTCCCATGGAGAATAAAGATTCCTTCCTCTTCAGCTTCTTGGCAATTACTTCCATATATACAATGATCAGGCCGATAATTCCAGTGGCATGGAAAAACAAAAAGGCTTTCTAAATGTAGAAAAATACATCACAAGAAAGACTAAGTTAAGCATAACTCTAAAAATAAACTTTTAAGAATTTTCTACGGAGTTAATATTTGGGAAGGTTTTAACATCTAACATAGAATTTTTACATGACAAAATTTACCAAAATGAAAAAAAAAACTTATTATTTAGAACATGACTTCAAAAGTAATAATGACAAGAATGAGTTTAAGTACTCACTGAAAACTATGACAATTTTTAAGATCTGATGACTAGGAATTGTCCATGTGGCTTTAAAAGTATGTTTAAAAGTACAAAAACATCTAATTACCTGGATTATGAAAAAACATTATATTTAACAAATCTTGATCACCCCATGTGATATTAAGTTTGTATTTTTTAAGTAATGGCATAAGTATCTCTCCCCATTGTAAATGAGCAGTTGTCATGTCATTCTGTAAGGAAAGAAACACATTAAGATTATATTTAAGTATAGCCTCAAAAGAAAGTCTAGCAGACTGATTTGCAAAATTATTCATCTTTAAGTCACACAAAAACTTACAGCTAAGGGAAAAAACAATAACACAGCATTTAGTCCTCCCTGGCTTATTTATTCTTGGTTTCCCCTATGAAAATGCCTTCTGATTCAGGCAGATTCAAATGCATGGGTCAAAAAAGGGACAACTTAGATAAATGAAACAACTTGGAGAAAATATAAACATAAGTTTTACTGAAGGTTTTCATGGGAATTTATGAGTTCTGAGTATATATGTGCATAAAATATATACTAAATATGTATATATAATATAAAACATACATATATACTTTTTAATATTTATATATTTAATGCTCCAGGTTTACACTAATAGTTTCCCTACCCAATACTGGTGTTAGAAACAACAATAATTTGGACTGTTGGTTAATCTAGTTGTAGATTAATGAATTTAAATTGACACATAGTGCATATAGTGTTGGGAGAGCATATAGTTAATCAGGACAATACATAGCTTAACTTTCACAATAACTATACGTAGTTCAAATTTCCCTTTGACATGATGTTGTGGAAAAACATCCCTTTAAAGATAAATAAAAAACAAAACCAACAAACAAAAAAAAGATAAATCAAAGAATCATAATATGTTACACATGTCTCATGCTTCATTTTGTGAAGCATTTTACAGATTCACTTACTCCTAAATATCTGATTCATTTTAGAATTTTCTTTCTAATTCATCAAGACAAATTTAAGTTGGCTTAAGTAACCTAACAAAGCGGTACTAAGAAAATGACCTTTCAATAAATCTACAGAAATGGAAAAAAAAAAAAAAGCATCATGTTAGTCCATAAAATTTAAGTCCAGGAATTGAAAAGGGAAAAGCTAATTTAAGGGACTTGATTTTAGATTAGTGCATTTTGGCCATTTTCAGGCTCGCAACACAAAAACCTTGCTACTTTACTAGCAAACAAGAAAGTTTACAAAAGAGGTACTTATAAATATAGTACAGTAGCTATAAATTTGGATGACAGAACACTGTAAGGAGAAGCCCTCAAAGTCTGTCTGGTTTGAAGCCATCAACTTGGTCTAGATTTGAAGAACTCGTTCCATTTCTAGTTAATCACCATTATTCACTATTAAACCTCACCACCAGAAACCAGAAAGCTAATTACATACTAAAAAATTCACATTGCCACTCTCAGAAGGGCAAGAGGTGAAATGCAGTTATCATAAACTAGCAGCTTTAGGGGGATGGAGCATAACACATGCCATGAAATTGCCTATATCTGCTATTTTTTAAATAAAGAACCTGAATATCATCTTTGGACATTACCATGAAGAGGGATATAATTTGTAATTGGGCAATTACAATAAAAAACATTTTTTTCAGTTCAACATGTATAATGGGACACAAAACCAAAACTGAAACAGTCTGTACATCAAGAAATTTATAGTATATAGTCTGCACATCAAGAAACTTACAGTATACCATGAGACATACAACATGTACTCAGATAAACATAATACAAGATTGAATATGATGGTTGGCAGGGAGATGAGGAAAAGTGCTATAGAGAAATCTGAGAAGGGAGGAACAGGAAATTGATTCAGAGAAGGCTTAACAGACATGGCAACTGAGATGAGACCTGAAGGAAAAAAATTGTTGAAATCATTATCTCACACTTGAAACATGAAGATTCATACAGAATTAAAATAAGGGATTAGAGCAAAACCTATTATGCTTTAGTCGAAGTAAAGAAAGAGAGGAGTTGCAAACATAATCTTAGATAAAGCAACAGCAAAAAGACAATTAAAAGAGATAAATAGGTAAACTAAATTATTCAAAAAGTTATCAGAGATAATATTGTTCATATTAATATTAATTTATATTACTACATAACACATATGCCCTGAAAGGCAAGGCATCTAAATGGTTACAAGAAATAGGAATGAGTTACAGGGAGAGATAGACAGTAAAACTATAATACTTTGGGGACCTTAAAGTACATCCTTTTCAGACCTAGACAAATCTACCCCAAAAAATAAAAAAGGAAGAAATTAAAGAACTAAATAGCAGTTCAGAAAAATTAGAGATGGCAGATTTCTGGAGATTACTGAATGGAAAGGGAAAGGAACAAGCACATTTCTTTGCACTACAAGGCACCACTACAAAAATTTACCATGTTTTAGTGTATTAAAGTTTAACGTAAGTGCAAAAAAGCAGAAATATTAAACATACTGACTACAGTGAAGTAAAAATTATAGACAGGTAGATACAATCAATAAACATTTATTAAGCACCAAAAGAGGCAAAGACAGTGCTTGCCCTCAAGAGGCTTACAATCTAGTGGGGGAGACAACATGTAAACAAATATATACAAAGTAAGCTATATATAGAATAGGAAATAATTAACAGAGGGAAGGTACTAGAATTAAGAGAGGTTGGAAAAGGCTTCCCGTAAAAAAAAAAAAAAAAAAATGGATTTCTACTTAGGACTTAAAGGAAGCCAGGGAAGTCATTAGCTTTAAATGAGGAGGGAGAACATTTCAGGCATGGGGGACAGTCAAAGAGATAGCTAGAGATGAGAGATGAAATGTGTTTTGTGGAAGAGCAAGGAGGCCAGCTGATGGAAGAATTTGTGGCAGAAAGTAAGGTGTAAGAAGATTGGAAAAGTAGGAAGGGGCTAGGTTATAAAGGGCTTTGAATGCCAAAGAGAGAATTTTGTATTTTATCCCAGAGGTGATGGAAAGCCACTGGAGTTAAATGAGTACATGAGTGAGTAGGTCAGAAAATCATTTTGGTGGCTAAATGAAGTACTAACTGGAATAGGGAGAGACTTGAGGCAGGCTGACCCACAAATAGACTATAGCAACAGTCCAGGCATGAGGTAATGAGGACCTGCATCAGAATGGCGGTAGTATCAGAGAAGAGAAGGGTGCATATTCAAGAGATGTGGCAAAGATTAAATCAACAGGTCTTGGCAACAATATGGATATGGAGAGTGAGAGATAGGAATTGCAAGCCTGAGGGACTGAGATTATAGTTTTGCTCTCAAGGTACTAAGGGAGGTAGGACGTGGGGAAGGTTTAGGGGAAAAGATAAGGAGTTCTGGTTTGGACATGTTTAGTTTAAATTGTCTTTTGGAAATCCAGTTCAAGATATCTGAAAGGCAGATGAAGATGTGAGAGAGGTTAGGGCAGAACAGGGAGACTAAACAATCATCATTACAGAGATCATAATTAAATACACACATGTTCATCCAACAAAAGGCTTTTGAAGAAAGGATTAAAATAAATTAAAAAATAACTTAATCCTAATGAATTAGTGTGTTACAGAATAAATCATAGAAACAACACATAATTTCAAAGAAAACAACAACAAATCAAAATTTTAAGATGCATTCAAAGCAGTCCATAGAAAAAAATTTATATCTCTAAATACTTTCATCAACAAGTTGGGCACAGGAAGCCAAGATTACAGAGTAAAGGCAGGAACTCACCTGAGCTCTCCTCCAAACCCCTCCAAATACCTTTAAAAATGACTAAACAAATTCTAGAGCAGCAGAACCTACTAAAAGACAAAGTGAAACAAATTTCCAGCTCAAGACAACCTGAAAGGTCAACAGGAAAGTTCTGTTTCACCAGTCTGAGAGAGAAGCGCAGTCCAGTGCAGGCCGTGCCAGCACTTACTGGACCGCAGCAAACCAGGAGCAAGCCTTGGGAATGATGGAATTAGTAGCAGCAGTGGCAGCGACTGTTTCTGGTGCTCTCAGCCCCCAGATCAAACAACTGGTCAGAAGGAGATTACAGGGGTCTCACTGAGGCTCTGTTGCTTTGCCCATTCTTGGAACTGGGTCGTAAACCTGGGTGCCAGTCCTAGGGCAAGGAGGGGAACTATAGCACAGCAGAGCTTATGACAGCAGTGGAGAGGGGACCCTCCTCACAATTCCAGGGCAGAAAAGAGTGCTTGTGGTTACTCACAGAATAAAGCACAGGCCAGGAGAGGAGTAAACACTTCTCCTTAGATCATACCACCTTGGAAGAACTGAAAACTCACAGTCCCTAGAACTATCTCTGAAAGTAGCTGCACAAAACCCCTGAAGCTTGGGACAGTACACCTTCCACAGCAGAAGCAGAGCCTACCTTAACAAAGAGTTAAAAAGTCAAGTAATAGGCTGGGAAAATGAGCAAACAACAGAAAAATATTCTGACTACAGAAACTTACTTTGGTGAAAAGGAAAATCGAAATACACACACAGAAGAACACAACAAAGTCAAAGCTCCTACATCCAAAGCCTCCAAGAAAAATATGAATTAGTCTCAGGCCATGGAGGAGCTCAGAAAGGATTCTGAAAATCAAGTAAGAGAAATAGAGGAAAAACTGGGAAAAGAAATGAGAGTAACGCAAGAAAATCATGAAAAACGAGTCAATAGCTTGGTAAAGGAGACAAAATAAAATACTCAAGAAAATCACACCTTAAAAAACAGACTAGGCCAAATGGTAAAAGAGGCGATACCAATATATCAAAAATATGTGCTCTGACCTTGCTGGATTAAATCAGGACTGCAGGGGCTGGTTTAATATTAGGAAAGCAGTAGACATAACAGAAAATATTAATAAAACAACCAGCAAAGATCATGATTATATTAATCAATGAAGAAAAAAGCCTGACAAAATACAACACCCATTTCCACTAGAATACATGGGAATAAATGATCTTCTCTACAATACAGTAAATGGTACCTATTTTAAACTCAGAGCCAGCACTGAATGTAATGGGGATAAACTAGGGACAGCTAGGTGGCAAGAGCACAAGGCCTGGAATTCAGGAAGACCTGATCTGAAATCCAGCCTCACACACTTACTATGCATATGATGTTGGATAAGTCATTTAATCTCTGTCCAAGTTGCCTTATCTATAAAATGACTCTTCATGATTCTTCAGTATTAAACCTAGA